TTTCATCTGTTTCTTCTAGCTTCTTCCATATGTTATCGATTTTTTCATCTGTTTCTTCTTGCTTCTTGCTGAGGTTGTCGATTTTTTCCTCCATCCGGTTTATGCACTCTAGGACCCTTATTCTGAATTCTTTTTCTGTCATGTTGCATGCCTCTGTATTACTTAGCTGCTTTTCTGGAGAGTCCTCCTTCTCTTTCCTTTGGGGGTTTCTTTGTCTACCCATGTTTGATCTCACTGACATATCTAGACGTTGAGTCGTTCAGTGGCTGCTCCCTTGGTGGCAGTGACTCCTTGGTCTGCGGTTCCTCTTCGGGCGGTTGTGGTAGCAGCTGCTCTTCAGTTGGCAGCAACTCCTCTGGTGGGTGCTATTCACAGCTGTGGTGGCTCTTCTGGCTGGTGGGGCGAGGTTTCACGTACAGCTGCTGTTCCTCAGCAGAGGGTGTGGTGCTCAGGAGGTTGCTGTTGCTTGGATCTGCTGTGTTGATTTAAAGGCACAAAATACAACACAACAAGGCACCACGTACCAGGCACTATACACAAATATATTCACGATATTAATAACCCCAAATAAAGGTGAGCACCTGAATTAAGAGAATTAGGGGATAAGGAAAAGGAAGAGAAAAAGAGAAAAAAGAAAAGAAAATTAGGGACCAAAAAAAGGAGTGCAAAAATGAAAGTGGGAAAAAGGAGGGGGGAAAGTAAAAGCAAGAAAAGAAAGGAAAAGAAAAAAAAAAGAGCGAAAAGAGAGAATGAAGTGGAAGAGGGGAAGAGACTTTTTATATGAGGAGAATACTCCTATAGAACAGCCATTAATCCCAACAAATTCCAGCAACAGCTCCCTGGAGATAAATGCAAACTAGAAACAACCAATAATATAACGATGAAAATAGAATGGAGAACACTAATCCCAAAATAAAATAAAGAGAAAATAAAATGGCACTTTAAAAAAAATGGTAAAATGGTAGCAGTAATAATACTGGTTAAAAATAAGAAGGTAGTAATTAAAAGGGTAAAATCAGGTGATGGAAAAAAGAAGAAAAAAAAAAGAAGAAGAGGAAACGAAAAAAAAAGAAAAAAAAAAGAAAAAAAATTGGTTTCTTAGTTAAAAGGTGAAAAAAAAATAAAAAAAAATAAAAAATAAAAAAAATAAATAAATAAAAAAAAATATTGCAGTAGTGAAGGTCCTTCGGTTCTTCTATTCTTCAGTGTGGCTCGCCTTAGACCTGCCAGGTATTCAGGAGAGTGTTGAGTTTCCCTGCGATACACTGTTCCTCTGTGTTGTAAACCACAGTCCTTATTTTAAAGCAAGCCGCATTTGTTTCCCAGACTGCCTTATTTTGTGTTTAGCAAAGAGTCAGTTTGTGGGTCAGCCTCTGGGTGGCAGTGTTCTGGGGTTGGCCTCTGAGGCTACAGGGCCTCTCTGTCCAGTGGAAGTTCACTGCCCAGAGCTGGCTGCGTAAGAGTTACCAGTGCTGTGTTGTTGCTGGGATTGAAAATCCCTCTATAGGCCAGACCCTGTTAACTCCCAGGGACTGATCAGGTTATTTTAATCCTTGATCTCCTACAGGGTGGAATCTGGGTGTGGCTGTGCTCCTTGCCTGGGGGCTGGGGGGAGGAGTCTCACTCTCCGGAGAGAATGGCTGCCTCAGACGTGGGCTCAGGGGTGTCTCAGCACTCAATTCGCTGCCACCTCTCCCGGCCCCCCTTCTCTCCTCAGCCTCTCCCCAGATTCCACTCCTCCGCACACTCTCCCTCTCTTCAGCACAGGTGAGTGTCTGTATCCGAAATGTCCCATGAACAGGGTTCAGTGAAAACAAACAAACAAACGCCGGCCGCGGAAACGGGGAAGGCTTGGTTTCTGTAAGCTTCTTCTCTTACCGGGACTGCATGGTCTGACTTCATTCTATTCTTTCCTAACTCACTTATGGTTGGCTTCAGAGGGAAAGCACCTGTGGTGTAGGGAAGTGTGTCTATGTGTCTGAGTGCCTCTTTTGATTTCACTTCATCTCAGCTTTTTGTTTTTGAGTGGCCAGATCAGCTGAGTTTCTCACATGTGAATAGGTCACTGACATATTCAGCATGATTAGTATATATTGCTGTACTGTTCTGCCCTTAGAGTACTATCTTTTTTGCTTCATTCTCACTTAGCTGGCATTTTCCAAAAGGACTTTAATGATGTTAGAAAGACTGAAAAAAAAATGAGGTAAGGTACAGCACCTTACACTAGGTTTTGAAGGCATAGGTTTCTGATTCTGTCGACAGCAGCATCGATGTGCTAGTGCGATTTCCCAGGCATGTGTCTGGGTTCTGGGTATAAAGGGCCTTCTGAGGGCCTGGCCCAGAGCGTGGCTCTGAACATTAGTCCTCTTTCCCACCCCCAGCCTGTCTTTATGTGGGTGGTTGCCATTTTATCTCCTTGTACAGGAAAACAGACATATTGGTTCCAGCTTGCTCTTTCCTGGAACAAGTGTAAAAGTTCTTATTCCTTTTGCTGCCTGACTAGACACAAGGAGGTTTGTAGTGTTGGCTGATTTCCCTTACTGACTTCAAACGATCCATGTGACACCACTGAAGGTGGAGGTGAGAGGATACGTGAACAATGGGCTCTTGTAAGTCAATATCAGCCAGTGCCAGCTTACCACTGTGTCTCATTCACAGAACATGGTGGTGAATTACCCCGTGAAATAGCTCGCCTTCTTGATAAAATGAATCATCCTGTCCTTCAAATGAAATTCACCAGTTCCCCTGAAGCAGAGGACTATAATTGGGCCCTGGGTGTATCTTTGAACTATTCATGAAGTACCCCATCCCTACAAGAAGAATTAACCATGTCTAGAAAAGAAAGTTCATTCTTTCCAAACTATAGTAAAAGTGTACATACATGGCAGTTCAACAAAAGTAGAAAGACTGACCACAGTCTGAGGGCTAATAATAAAAATAGCTGCTGTGTATTACATCAGCCAAGTACTGTGCTAAGAAGCTGTCTCATTCCATTCTCCCCCCTAAACCTGAGGTGAAGCCACTGTTGTCATCTCCATTTTACAAATGAAAACTACACACAGCTAGTCAAATGGCCAAACCAAGACTCCAACCTGGTCTGTCTGTCCCAAAAGCCTGTGTTCTGAACCACTAAAGAAAAACAGAACAAAATAAATGGAGAGATGACACATCTCTCAGTTCTGTGACTCAAAGGAGAAGACGATCTTACACCGTAACTGACACTATACCCTAACATGGACCATTCCTTCAGGTTCATTTCAGTATCAGCCATACATTACATCCATGTGGAGGCATGATGTGTGTGCACACATATGTATACCCTCTGGCCTTCTGATAAGTACATCTTTGCTTCCTAAATCAGTCTTTCAGTGAGAGCTGTGTGTTCAGAAAGATCAGAGGGCAACTTACACATTTCTCACAGGGGCCTTACCTACAGAGGCAAGTCCCTACATTTCAGAAAATGGATTTGTTAGACATCCAGAGTTGACCTGACTCCGGATGACCAGCTTATACTACACTCTCTTAACATTCAGTGAGTAATACTTCCCAGCTGGCTGAAATGCTTGTGTTCACCAGTATTTCATGGTGATAAAGGGTCCTGGTTGGAGCCGAGTATCTGTAAAAGGTGATGGATAGTCGTTCATTTGGTTATTTAACAGATATTTATTGTGTATCTACCTTGTGCCAGACAGTATGTCTCAGAATAAGGAACACACTAGTAGCACCCTTCACTTTAGGCATTGGTCATTTGTGGACAGAGCTGGGAAGACTTCCAAATTCCACTTTTCCAAACTTCTTGCAGACCATCTGCTTGGTATCCACACATTCTTCTAAGTTATTGCTGCTGGTTAAGTTATAGATTTCTTTCCAATTTAATTCGAAAGCCTTGCCTAATTGATTTCTCATCCTGAAACACATACTGACATTTAAAGGGACTCTGGGGGAGAGCTGATTTTTATCCATTTTGTTTATGGCAGTTATTCTTAATCTATTTATCAGCAGATAATGTTATTTCATTTGTTTTATTTCCAAGTTCTTGGACAGGGAGTGCAGGGAAGTTCCCCATAATGACCTCTCTAGGTATAAAATATGGTAAGATGGAGGGCCTTTGGCTCTGGAAATAGAAGCTGCAAATATGATTTATGAAGAAAAATGGCCTACAGATTAAGAAATTTTATAAGTTCAGATGCCAAGCAAAATCTTGTTTTCACCTCATTATTTACCATCTTTTCCATGAAGTAACTACTGCCAATTGTATCAACTTTAAAAAAGGATATGGTAATTCGAAACTCTAGGAGAGATGAGCTTCTTTAAAATAGACAAATATGCCGAAACCGGTTTGGCTCAGTGGATAGAGCGTCGGCCTGCGGACTGAAGGGTCCCAGGTTCGATTCCGGTCAAGGGCATGTACCTGGGTTGCGGGCACATCCCCAGTAGGAGATGTGCAGGAGGCAGCTGATCGATGTTTCTCTCTCATCGATGTTTCTAACTCTCTATCTCTCTCCCTTCCTCTCTGTAAAAAATCAATAAAATATATTTAAAAAAATAAATAAATAAAAATAAATAAAAAAAGGAAGATACTGGATATGGTAATTCCAAACTCTAGGAGAGATGAGCTTCTTTAAAATAGACAAATGTCTTCTATGTGCCAGATACAATATTAAGCATTTTAAAGGAATTGATCATTTATTCAATCTACAGAAAAGGCAATGTGTGTGTAGCTTTTTAAAGATAAATTTATGTTTTATTAACTACAAGAGCATCTGCCAATTGGTTTTCTTTCCATTTTTCCTAACCTTGGTTCTCGTACATGTTCTAACAGATTGTGGTGCTGCACTTGTTATTCCCCGAGATTTTCCTACAGGCTGCTTTAGATTTGTGGCAGCGGAAATGGGGACTCACAGAGTGGATGAGGTCAAGTGTGGTGTGTACAGGTAGAGGGAGGGATTTTGATGACAATGACTAAAAGCCCTTGTTCTGCTCTGTTTTGCTTCTTGTAGGCTTTCAGCACTGCAATGGAGAAGATTAAGTCCAGGCTCCCCAACAATTACAGTGGTGAGTAAGAAATTCATGGAGCTAGAAGCAGCTTCTCCCACCCTAGGCTCATTCTATTCTTGATCATCTAAACTAATGGAAGGGAGGAGAAGAAGAATAAAGAAGCCAAATATATCTCATTGTGCTCCTGCTTAGATACCAACCTGCTCTATATCTGGCCATGTTCTTGTTCAGTCCAGTTTTATGATATGAGCAGAGTGAGGCAAGGTAGCATTAGGTAATTCACAGTGTGGATAGTTCATTTACAAATGCCATCTATAATTTTTTTCTAAGAAAAAGTTCTGCCCTTCACAAACTGACTTAGCCAGCACTCTTTCTGCTCTGAATAAGCAAACATCTAAATGGAGTTACTCTGTAATAATTATAGAAAACACATCTCAGGAATAACAGATAATAATAAATGGATTAACCCAATGCTATCCAAGCATAAGTAATCACTAGGATCATGATGAGAACTTTAAAAAACAAACACACCAACAAGGATATGTGTAAGCCCCAACTCTACACATTCTGATTCAAGAACTCTGGGTCTTGGGCCAAGCATGTATATTTTTCAATGCCCCCTAATCAATTTTGATACGGAAGCAGGTTTGAGGATCACTGAACTAAACCAATCCTGGTTGTTGGGGGCTGGAGAATGTTTACCTCTGTCTTATAACTACATTTCTTTTTTTTTTTTAACATATTTTTATTGATTTCAGAGAAGAAGGGAGAGGGAGAGAGAGATAGAAACATCAGTGATGAGAGAGAGTCCTTGATTGGCTGCCTCCTGCACACCTCATACTGGGAGGCAACCAATCTGTCTCTCTCACATTAATGTTTCTCTGTCCCACTCCCTTCCACTCTCTCTAAAAATCAATGGAAAAATATCCTTGGGTGAGGATTTAAAAACAAAAAACAAATAGACAAAAAAAAAGATAATGATCTCAGGTAACCAAGGAAAAGTTAAACTATTTAACTTTAGTGATCTGAACAATGTAGTTACCTAGAACAATTCTTCTCTCTTGATGATGATGGATTAAAGAAGTATCAACACATGTTTTTATTTTCTACTAAAAAGTAATGTAAGCTCCCAAGCAGAACAAGGGTTCAAAAAAAAGTATGCCTCCAATTTAAGAAACACCCCCCCGCCCCACATACACACATACACACACACACTTCTTAGTGTTGTATAAGACACTGACTTTGATTTTTACTCAGAGGAGGCCATCTTCTATTCCCCCCCACACACTTTGAAATCTGTCCTGATACTTCTCCATAGTCCCTGATACCACCCAACCACTACATTAGGTAAAATATGCTAATTACCGCTATTATCCTGGAATCACTTACTGGGAGGCAGAATTGTGTGAGCACTGGAATCAGACTGCCCATACCTACTAACTCCCTGGCCACCACCTACTAGTCCTAAAACCATGGGCAAGTTTCTTAATAACTCTGAGTTAGCGTCTTCATTTGTAAGACGGGGCTACTAATAGTACTAATAGTATCTCATTGGGTTGTGAGGATTGAATCCTCCTATATAATAAAAGGGTAATATGCAAATCAATTAAATGATGGAATGACTGGTTGCTATGATGCGCACTGACCACCAGGGGGCCAACACTCAATGCAGGAGCTGCCCCCTGCTGATTAGTGCGCTCCCACAGGGGGAATGCCGCTTAGTCACAAGCCGGGCTGACGGTTGGCAAGTGCAGCAGCCCGCCTCTGCAGCAGCACTAAAGATGTCTGACTGTGGCTTAGGCCCGCGCCCAGGAGTCAGTTGGACATCCCCTAGGGGCTCCTGGACTGCGAAAGGGTGCAGGCCGGGCTGAGCGACACCCCCCCACACACACCTGAGTGCACGAATGCCGTGCACCGGGCCTCTAGTAAAATATATAAAGCTCTTAGAATAATGCCTAGAGCATAGTAAGCGCTCAACTTACTTTTTCCCCTCAGAATGTTACTGAGATTCGTCCATGTAGCTAAATTCACTACATTCCATTGCTATAATAATATTCCATTGTTGAAGGGCATGCGTTATTTCCAGTTCTTGGCTGTTACAAATAAGAATGTGAACTTTCTTGTACACATCGCCTGATACACATGTGCCAGTGTTTTTCTAAATAATATAATTGTAGGAATGGTTGCTCCAATTTTACATCTACCATAAATACATAGGAGTTCCAGTTGCTCTGTGTCCTTCCCAACACTTGAGATTGTCAGACTTATGAATTTTTGCCAATTGGTGGGTAGTTTTTCATGTCCCTGGTTACAAATGAAGAGAAACATCTTTTCACACATATATGGGCCATTTGTGTTTCCTTTTCTGTGAATTCTTTTGCTCAGCTGGCTATTGGGTTGTTTCTTTTTATTAATGATTTGAGGGAATTCTTTATATATTTTAGGTGCCGCTTCACCTATAAATTCTCTCTCAACTGGTCCACACACACACCCCCCTTTCTTTTGGAATTTGGGTTCAGAGTCACCCTAATCCATCAGAGATTCTTCTTCTTGATATATATCTTTACTCCTTGTGGAGGGGGTTGCAGAGAGAGGTATACATGGGTGGGTTGGAATAAAATTCTGTTTCTTTTTCTGCTGGGATAGACTGTGTCCAGCAGCAGGAGCTGCTAAGCTCCCAGTGCTTGTGGAGGGGTGAAATGTCCTGTCACACACAGATAAGATGTAAATAAGAATCGCAGGTAGTAGAATTATGGGTATTTCCTTCTTTTATTATACTTGGATAATTTTCTAATTTTTCAGTAATAAACATCTATTTTTATAATCAGAAATACATTTTTTAAAAAGAATTTTACTCTTTTAGCTCTGTTGCTTTCTGAGATGTTTGATTTTAAACCTGGGATTAGTAAGAGGTTGAGGAAAATCCCATTCAGCAGGAAATAATAGTTGGTCAACATCCAGAGTGAGATCACAAGGTGAACTCATCTGTGAATTGGTAAATGCAACACAGAAGGGGCAGGACATGATAAACCCAACTCAGGGAAACTGTAAACCATACATTTAGATTTCCTTTATACCCAACACAGCTCTCAGACAAAGTGCTTAATTGAAGCTGCCACAGCCAACAACAGTGACAATATCCTGGGACAAACACTGGCCATGGTGTATTGTTCTGCTCTGGTTTAAAACCCACCTGTCTTCTGTGGTTGTTTATGATAGTCTTTTCAGTCCCCCAGGAGGTCAGAGGGAACCAAGAAAATGAACTAAAAGCTAAATCTCCTGCCATCCATCTGATGGGCTCTAACCGGGGAAAAATGAGTGAGGCCGAAGAATGGATCCAAAGGATACTGACCCACCAGGATAAGCACATCATTGAGAATAATCATATCCTCTCCCTTGGAAAAAAGGAACATGACATTTTGTCTCAGCTTCAGAAAACCTCAAGGGTCTCTATCACAGAGACTATCAGTCCAGGAAAGGCAACTTTAGAGATTGAAGGAGCCCAGGCTGACCTCATTGAGGTGGTTATGAAAATTGAACGAATGCTGTGTCAGGTTCAAGAGGAAATAGCAAAAAAAAAGGAGCGAGCCCTTTGGAGCCTGGCAGGTGAGTAACTTACTATTTAGTTGGAAAGTCAGCTCTCCCAGCTGTCCTTTTGGGTGTGATTATGTATGTCTGTGTGTGGATAAGAGAGAATGGAAGAGAAAAGAGAGCAAACTGTGCAGGTTCTGTGCTAGGCCATAAACTTTTATAACCGTTTTGGGGCTCTGTTTCTACCAGCAGGGTTAATTATTAGTAAATGAACACACACACTCACACAATTGGATTTACTTATGATGACTTAGATTACCTAAGAGGCAATTACATGGAAAGCCTAGGGTAACCCACTCCTAGGCAGTAGGGGGAAAAACATATCTAATTCTGCAGATGGAATGTTCAAATGTAGACACATTCCACTGATTTTTTTAAAATTGAGTTTTAGTGCATTTATCTGTTGCTGGAAACCTTAGGAGCCCTAAAATTACTTACTTTGAGCCTTCTCACCAAAATATATTATTAATTGGTACTATTAAGTACATGCAAACAGCACCCATTTAGTGGAGCAAAAATCCATCGGGATGATGGGGAATTGAGGTCTGCAAAGATCCTTTTAACATAGTCCTAGAGCTAACTAGGAAATTATACCATTGGAATCACCACCTTAGGAGACAGAGGCTTATTTCATTCACTTATTCAGCTAATGAATATTGCATCTATGATATGTACCAAGCATTGTTCTAGGTGCTGAGGATACAGTGATAAAATGGACATTGTTTTCACTAAGAATCTAATTGGGGATTCTGAGAAGCAAGCAAGGTTAGTTAGGAAAGAGGGTGAAAGTGCTCTGGGAGCACCTAGGAGAGGCACCCTAACTAGACTTGTATTTTAGAGAGATCACTGGTTGTATTGTGGAGAATGGATCTAGTACAGCAACTCAGATGCAGGATTTTAAAGGACACCTTATTTTCACTATGTGTTTATAAAAATTATTTGGGCTGAAATGGTCAAAATGAGTGGGAGTTTGCAGTAAACGTGGTAGCCACATTCCACAGAAAACTCAGTGTCCAAAAAGATGGACAAAAGTCATATGCAAGAATGAGACCCAAGATTGTGATTTCTACTTAGCTTTTAAAGTGTAATGTCTGTGAATATGTAAACTGACACTGATACCTCTCAAGAGAACAAGAGACAAAGAAGTACTGATCTCCTGTAAAGCTTGTAGCATCACTTTAACTGCATTTATAAGGTTGGGAGCCCTCCTCCAGCTCCTGGCAACTTAGCCATATACTAGTAAGTTCTTTGTTCTGCTGCAAAGGTGGCATTTTTAGTAGCTGATGACTAAGTTTCAGAGGTTCATACAGACTCATCCTCTCTTAACCAGATTAGGATCATCATTAACAAAATGGATAAATTTGAAATGAGCTCTTACTACAGAGAACATCAACTATCCATCAGAATAAAATTTAAATGATAGAAGTTAGGCATCGCCTCTCTGTTGTGTTGTTCTTTTAATCCTTCCTGGCAAGCTTTTCTGATAGCAAGAGTTTGTAGATTTTGAATCTCCAGTGCCCAGCCAGTGCCTGGCATGTAATAGTAATTCAGGAAATGTTTGCTGAACTCAAGTCAACTGGACTTAATACTATACTTCATCAATGTGAGCTATTGCTCTCCAGATTTCATTTAGAGTCTCTTCCTTTGAAATTTCCTGGCCTTCGAGTTCCTTTGCTATGGTGTTTTGTCCTTCCCGCCTTCCAGATTTACAACTTGACCCTCTAGCGCAGGGGTCCTCAAACTACGGCCCGCGGGCCACATGCAAATACAAATATTGTATTTGTTCCCATTTTGTTTTTTTACTTCAAAATAAGATATGTGCAGTGTGCATAGGAATTTGTTCATAGTTTTTTTTTAAACTATAGTCCGGCCCTCTAACAGTCTGAGGGACAGTGAACTGACCCACCCTGTTTAAAAAGTTTGAGGACCCCTGCTCTAACAAGTTTCTCTGGATGTATCATCCTCTTTTTTAGTTAAATTGAGCCCACTCCATTAGAAATGTGCTGGGCATTAGGTCATTTTAGTATACTTGATCTAAAGTCAAACTCAAACGGGAAGAAAGTAAGCCTTTTGGGGTATTTTCATTTTGTCCACCTTTGCATTTAGTCCAATAAGGAGCTTCTTTGGACAATAACAGTAGTCCCTTGAACTTAAAAAAGGAAGGAAGTTAAGGGAGAAAGGGAGGAAATACATGACACAATTTAGTCTTAATCTCCAAATTTTGCTCTTCTTGCTTGGGAGTGGCATATGAGTGATGTACATGCCAAATATTCTGCCTTGCCCCTTACAGAAGGCACTGGTGAAAGTCAGGTTTATAACTTGGACCTCTTTACTTATTAGCTGTGTAATATTGGGCAAGTCACATAACTGGGTTTTAATTTCCTTATTTGTAAAACTAGAGGCTCAGTGCACGAAATTCATGCAGGGGTGGGCGGGGGGGCTCCCTCAGCCGACCTGCACCCTCTCCAATCCGGGACCCCTCGGGAGATGTCCTACTGCCTCTCAAAATCTGGGACCACTGGCTCCTAACAGCTTGCCTGCCTGCCTGATCACCCCTAACCCCTCTGCCTGCCTGCCTGTCACCCCTAACTGCTTCCCTGCTGGCCTGATCGCCCCTAACCACCTCTGTCTTGCCCTGCACCCGGGACCCAGGATCCCCTCCTCTGGCCATCGCAGGCATCTGGGACCTGGGCTTCCCTCCCTCTGGTTGTCCGCAGGCACCCATGACCCCAGCCAGCTTCACCCAGGCCGGCCGCAGCCGCAGGGGACCGTGGACCACAGGGCGGGTGGCTTGTCCCTCTCCCGGCCACAGCCCCAGCTGCTGGCGCCTGGGACCGCGGGGTGGGCGGCTTGTCCCTCTCCCAGGCTGCAGCCTGGCTGGTCCCCATTCCTTACTCGCGAGCTCATTTGTGCCTGGCTGGTCCCCATTCCTGTCTCCCAGTGTTGAGTGTCTGAGCAGTTCTGGCCCAAGGGCTTGAGGGCGTGACGACCATTTGCATATTAGCTCTTTTTTATATAGGATTGCCTCTCACAGAGCATTGAAAAAGTGTTTTGTGTTACTCATTTTTAGGACAATGGACTGATCAGCAACCAATACACCAAGATGAAATGAAAGAAAATAAGTTTCTGAAATGTCTAACGCTTTCAACTCCAGAAATTCAGGATCAGAAGAAAGAATTTGAAAACTGTGGCTTGCAGGTTATAAAGGTATATGTAATTAAGGGAAAGATTTGACTTGCCTTGCTATTAATCCATTTGTTCCATAGCTAAAAAAAAAACAACAACAAAAAACACCTGTAAGCTAGCTGCTCATTTGACCGGAGTCTCAGAAATAAGATGGAGGGGAGGCTAGAGATGGGCAGATACCAAGATATAGGAGGCAGAAATGATGTCAGGATATACAGAAGCATAGATCAAGACCCAGTTAAAAGCTGCCTATGTTGATGCAAAATAAAAGGACTGGAATAGAACTTATCACACTGTGTTATTATAATTGTGTACCTATTTTTATCTCTCACTAAACTATGAGCTTTAAGAGGGCAAAGACAGTAAATACATTGTTGGCCATTTCATTAACAATGGTTGTTCAGTGCATTTTTATTAAATGAATTCATCAAAGAAGGGACAGGGAATTTTGAAGAGATAGAAATCAAGCTAGGAGAGGGCTGCGGCCAGGAGAGACCCCTATGTAATTTGAAATGAAAATCAAATTGCATGCAAAGCTATATGCACATTAGTGCCTTTATTTCTGAAGCAGTGCATCAGGCCATTTAAGTAGCAGTTCTCCAGTCTCTTATTCAGATTTTCATTCCCTTGGGTTCCAGGTAGAGAAGATAGAAAACATGGTTCTCATGGCTGCCTTCCAAAGAAAGAAGAAAATGATGGAAGAGAAAATGCGTGGGAAACCTGTGAGCCACCGGTTGTTTCAGCAAGTCCCACAGCAATTCTGCGAAGTGGTAGGCAGAGTCGGCTTTCAAAGGATGTACTCAGTGCCCTGCGGTAGGTGTCAGCCCCTCATTATTGGAGCTACTGTGTGTGGGAATTGGTGAGCAGACATCAGCAGAGGACTCTCCACCAATAGCATTTGTTGCTGTGGTGAGGGGATCATTTGCAACTAGGATTTAGTGGTTAAGTCATTTGGAAAGGGTCCTTATTTTTATTTTCCTTCATATATTTTGTTGCTGATGGGTTTAATGTTGATGAAAGTATTTGCAGTAAGATGTACAGTTCAGGTTCCCTCCTTTCTGTGTTTATGTGTCCTATATGCAGAGTACCCTGGAGCTTTTCTTTCTCTTTCTTCCCCCACTCCTCCCACCCCGCTTATCTCAAGCAAATTATTATCACTACCTAACCATCCTAATCCCTTAATTAAAAGGGCATTTTCCTGAACTTAATAAAGTTGATCTTTTCTCTTCTATACTCTTCATTTCCTATAGGCTGATAGTGAATGAATTAGATTTCATCTGGCAGGTGAAGTGACTAACATCTTAAGATCCCTCTCAGCTATAAGAGTTCTGTGTGTGGCTTCCATGTCTCTTTTCAGTTGTACAAAAATATTGCATACAGCCCTGGCTGGTGTGGCTCAGCAGTTAAGAGTGTCAGCCCATGCACCAAAGGGTCTTGGGTCAAGTGCACATACCTGGTACGATCCCCGGCCCCGGTCGGGGCACGTGCGGGCGGCAGCCAATTGATGTGTCTCTCACATTGATGTTTCTCTGTTTCTTTCCCCTTCCTTCCCTTTTTTCCACTCTCTCTGAAAAGAAATGGAAAAAACATCCTTGGGTGGAGATTAACAAAATAACAACAACTTACTTCATTGCTGTAGTGTCCCCTTTAGATCTCTTCAAAGGAGGCCAAGAAGTTTTGTAATTATTGTGGAAGATACCTAGCAATGCAGCTTGATTTTGCCTGGTCGGTGAAATCCCTTCATCTGTACCCTTCAAGATATGTAGCATGATCCTTGATTTCTGGAAAGCAAAGAGTTTTTAAATCTCTTTGCGCCAGAGAGAATATAAGCAATACCTAGGGGAAAAATTGAGCATGCTCAACTCCTGGAGGTAAAAATTGATCAGTGAATCCCCTCCAAGAAATCTTCCAGTGCAATCAGGAAAGTGATGATTGGTATGGTCCTTTCATTAGCAATCTTAAAAACTCACTTCTTTTGCTCCTAAACCATTGTAACTGGCTTCTCTGCACCCCACTCTTCCCACCCCTCCACACACAATCACCACCTTCTACTCAAATACTCTAAGATCATTACTATCTTCCTATTTTCCAAATCCAGCGGGTGCCATCTTTTCAGTCCTTTGGCAGATATGGCTAATTGCCTCTCCATCTGTAACCTCCTCTCTCTCCTGACCTGCAGGTCCATATTTCAAACTATCTTTTGGACATTTCTACCTATGGACGCATAGCCAACTCCAGCTGAACTCCTTCTTGGCCATATTTTTCCCTAAGACATAGGCTATTTTTTTTCCCCTTTCTTGCTGATACTCCCTAACCTGGCTGATACCATCACCATCTATGAGGTCTTCTAAGGTAGAAACTGAATCATCCTCCATTCCTTCCTTTCTCTCTCATATCCAGGCAGTCACAGATTCTCTCTCAATAAAATTCTCAGCACAGCCTCACTTCTCTTTTCCTGCTGCCTTAGTTTACCTTCCCATAAGCCTAGATGATTACCAGGTCCTTTTTTGCCTCAAAACACCTCTATTAACCTGTCCTTTTCTCTTCCAGAATTATCGTGCTAAAAAATTACATGCCTGTTTAGCATCTGCATTCCTAGTTACCTAGAAGGTAAAAGCTCAGACTCCTTAGCAGAGTGCAGAAGGCCTTAGCCCCACAGTATTTCACCAGCCTCATAACTCACTATGTTCCCCAACACTCTAACCATGAACGTCTTAGTTTCCTGAGTATGCTGTATGCTCTCATGCCTCTGTGCCTTTGCATGTGGAATGTCTTCCCTCTTCACCCTTGTCAGCCCTGCAAATTCTTATTCCTTCGTTAAGACATAGCTCAAATGGCATCTCCTGGTGGACACCTTCCCCAACTCCTGCAGACCCAGTGAATTGCTTCCTTCTCTATGTTCCTGCACTCCCCCCATTCCTTTGTTACAGCCTCTGTAACTCTAACAAGTACACCAATTCAGTTCTACAAAATTCAGGTATGGGACTTGTTTTCTTTATGGCTGTATAATTGAACTTCACCTACCTTTTATGCTCCCAAGGCAACAGATGTGGAAAACTCCATCTTGACAGATGAATTCAGTCGTTTCAGAGTATCCCTAGTCCCTTTGGAGTTTAGACTCAATTCCTGCAAGGTTTTGCCTTTACTTCTCCTCTTCTGAGAGTGTTCTCCATGATGGGACAGGCATTGAGGGGAGGGTGGTCTGGTTCATGGCCCCATCAGTCCTCTGCCTCTCAGGGTCCTCTGCTAGATAAAACACCTTTGGCCATTAGCACCTTCCTTTACTTAAATTTCCAGTCCCCTTTGCTCTTAGGTAGGGTCTACACAGGGCACTCTGTTTTTCATGTCAAGGGAATTCCTTTCCAGGCCGTGTTTGTGTTCCTCTTATAGCACGCGAAGTGTTTGAGTGAAGCTGAAATGTGGGGTCTTGTGTGGAAGGCCTCACCCCTTCTGAAAATCTTCCCCGGCCATTGCTGCTTTCCACTCAGGTGCCAGGCTGGATGAGGGGGCTGCAAACAGCGGAGTCAGGCAATGCTCCCTTCTGCTCTGAAGTCCCCCTAGTTCTTCTGAGGTTTCTGTTGGTTCTTCGCCATCTTGACTCCCAGGGCACTCTTGAGAGAGTACGACAGAGAAGTGAGTTCTCGTTATGTCTTCCCTGATTCTTCTCTTCCCAGAAGGTGGGAGAAAGAACTTAACATTTATCTTGAAGTGAAAAAACTGCTCTTAGAATATCTTGTGTTCTCTTTTCTGTTATAGGTGGTATAAAATCCATGTGCTGAATCCTTCAGGCTTTTATCCTTTTGGTTCAAAAAACTCTTTTCCTCACTCAGAAAATCTAACTGTCAAGGCCATACTTTCAAGACCATATTTTCTGCTTTAATTAAAAATAATGATATATTATATATGATATGTATCATATATATTCAAATGACTTTGTTCTAAGCTTTATATATTTTAGCCCTGTATAAGTAGCCAGAATTCAGTGGGTGGAGGAACAAAGAGTAAGAAGACACTCCCAGGAAAGAAATCTTTGATATTTATCTCAAAATACTTGCTTGCCACATGAAATTGTACTATATTTTATGTCGGGAGTTCCCATTGTGAACTTTTGAGAATAGCGATCATGTCTTAGTCATTTTTGAAGCTCTAAAGCTGTATGGTCCAATATGGTAGCCATGAGCCAGTCACTTGTGGCTGTTGAACATTTGAAATGTGTTTAATCTGAATTGAATTACACAGTAAGTATAAAATATGCACTGTATTTGAAGACCGCTACCAAATAAAAAAATGTAAAATGTCTCCTTAATAATTTTGCATATTGATTACATGTTGGAGTGGTAACATTTGGATATAATAGGTTAAATAAATTTATTATTAAATTAATTTCACCTGTTTCTTTTTACCCTTTTTAATGTGGCTACTAGAGAATTTAAAATTATGTGTGTGGCTTATGTTGCATTTCTATTGTTCAGTGCTGCTCTAGAACCTGATACAGTGTTTGGTTAAGTCCCAAGTAAATTAAAGAAAGAGGAAGGTGAGGGAGGAAGGCGGGGAGGGACAGAAGGAAGGAAGGAAGCTATATTTAAATGTAAGCTATTATTATATTGACTAGGGGCCCGGTGCACGAAATTCGTGCACTGGGTGTGGGGTGGGGGGAGTGTCCCTCAGCCCAGCCTGCCCCCTCTCACATACTGGGAGCCCTCAGGCGTTGACCCCCATCACCCTCCAATTGCAGGATCGGCCCCTTGCCCAGGCCTGACGCCTCTGACAGAGGCGTCAGGCGTGGGCAGGGGACCCTCATTTCCCCCCATCACTGGTTCTGCCCCCAGCCCAGGCCTGATGCCTCTGGCCCAGGCATCAGGCCTGGGCAGGGGACCCCCAGACCCCTCCGATTGCTGGCTCTGCCCCTTGCCCAGGCCTGATGCCTCAGCCAGAGGCATAGACCCCCATCACCCTCCGATCGCCTGATCGGCCCCTTGCCCAGGCCTGACGCCTCCGCCAAAGGTGTCAGGCTTGGACAGGGGACCCCCATCTCCCCCCGATCACTGGCTCTGACCCCCGCCCAGCCCTGAGGCCTCTGGCCCAGGAATCATGCCTGGGCAGGGGACCCCCATCTCCCTCTGATCGCTTGCTCCACCCCCCGCCCAAGCCTGACGCCTCTGACCCAGGCTTCAGGCCTGGGCAAGGGGACCATCATATCCCCCCAATCCCCGGCTCCGCCCTCAACCCAGGCCTGATGCCTTGGCCAGAGGAGTTGACCCTCATCACCCTCCGATCACTAATCACCGGATCGGCCCCTTGACCAGGCCTGAGGCCTCCAGCAGAGGTGTCAGGCCTGGGCAGGGGACCCCCAGCTCCCCGCGGTTGCAGGCTCCGCCCCTGCCCAGGCCTAACGCCTCTGGCCTAGGCGTCCGGCCCCGGCAGCGGGGACCCGCAGCTGCAGCGGCCCCGCGATCATGGGCTTCGCTTTAGGCCCAGGCAAGGGACCCCTAGCTCCTGGGACTGCCAGCTTCGACCCTGCCCAGCTCCCATCGCTGGCTCCACCCCTACTTCCTGCTGTCACTTGCCAGGGCGGCAAAGGCGCCTGATTCTCTGATCATGGCTGGGGGGCAGGGCAAAGGCGGCCCCGGGGCCGCCTTTGCCCTGCCCCCCAGCTCTTAGCTGCCCCCTGGGTTTCAGATCACTGTCAGTGGCAGGGGGCTTCTTCCTGCTTTCCCTTTCGCCTCCCTGCATTGTGCCTACATATGCAAATTAACCTCCATCTTGTTGGCAGTTAACTGCCAATCTTAGTTGGCAGTTAATTTGCATATAGCCCTGATTAGCCAATGAAAAGGGTAGCGTCGTACGCCAATTACCATTTTTCTCTTTTATTAGTGTAGATGATATCAGTGATAATGTGTCTTAAGGGAACAACTTTGGGTATCTTTGCTACAGACACATGGACTTGGGACCAAAAAATAGTGATTATTTGGAGGACTAGACAGCGAATACTTATTAGTACCCAAATAGGGCAATATGTTTCTGCAGATCATAATAACCGTTTACATTTTATTTTCTTTTATCAGACCCACAGTATGGAGCTGGCATATACTTCATCAAGAACCTCAGAAATCTAGCATACCCGGTCAAGAAAACATCTACTACAGATAAGCTGATCTGCGTGTTTGAGGCTGAAGTACTCACAGGCTCCTTCTGTCAGGGTCATCAGGAAAATATTATTCCCCCACTAATGAGTCCTGGAGCCACAGATAGACATGACAGTGTGGTTGACAGTATCTACAGCCCAGAAATCTTTGTTATTTTTAGTAGTGTGCAGGCCATGCCCCGATATTTGTGGACTTGCATCCAAGATCCTGTATGGTCACAGGATTACTCATCAAAACCAATGATGTATCCACAGTCGACTTTGAGGGAACTCTCAAGAGGTAGCCCTGTTGATTAATCTCCATAGAATTTTAACAACTGGCATGGCCTTGCTTTGTAGAAACTAACCAATAATGACCATTGATGGCTCAAAGCGTGATTTGAATGTGTTAAGTGGGTTGTTTGTATGGACTAATTGGGTTATTGAAGGGGCCAGTTACATACTACTAGCATCTTAGTCTTTATCTCCTGGGGCTGGGATAGATGTATACCATCATCTATTATTCCTCTCCTTCAAGTTGTTCTTTCACCTCCTCTACTATAATAGCAAAAATGTTTTGCATGCAATGAAAAGACTTTTCTAATATCTAATCCATTTTATTTTCTAAAGTGGTGATAGTGTAACAAAGCAGGATGATTTTATATTTTCCAGATAATCTTATGCAGTGCTTTTGATAACAAAATAAATCACCTTTGCTTTGAAAAATCACATGTTAAATGAAATTATTTGAAGTGGAAGGACATCGAAAGGCTGATATTCTCCTGATAACCTGTGTGAATTCAGCCATATCAAGCAATGCAACTGAAGTACCACTAGGTCAAATTATTAATTTACCAAATATTTTTTGACCACCAGATGTGTTTCAGTCACTTTATGAATCCTGGGGATATGATGCTAGACAAGACAAATGTCTTCATACAGCTTTCAGCCTGACTAATTAGAAAGGCAGCTATGGACAACTTAATAAGTATAATTGGAATGAGGAATTACAGATTCTTTGGGAAAATATAAGAGGGAGAGGGACCATGGGTTGGGGGAAGGCCGCCTAAAGAAAGTGAAACAAAAGCAGAGACCTGAAAAATTTGGAAGAGTCAGGTAAGTAAGGGATGCAGCAGATAGGGAGCAGAGTCGAAGAGTATTTATGCAGAGAGAATCCTGTAATAAAAGGCTAATAGACAGATCGACTGAATGGCAGAATGACCAGTCGCTATGATGCACACTGACCACCAGGGGGCAGACGCTCAACACAGGAGCTGCCCCCTGGTGGTCAGTGCACTACCACAGGGGGTGTGCCACTCAGCCAGAAGCCTTGAGCTGGGCTGACAGCTGGCTAGCACAGTGGCAATGGCGGGAGCCTCTCCTGCCTCTGTGGCAGCACTAAGGATGTCCGACTGATGGCTTAGGCCCGCTCCCCACACCTAAGTCGGCAGTAGGACATCCCCCGAGGAGTCCTGGACTGCAAGAGGGTGCAGGCCAGGCTGAGGGTCCCCCACCCCTCCCCTCCTCTGAGTACATGAATTTCATGCACCGGGCCTCTAGCAGTTCTTATAAAGGCTGGATTCACTGTGACTGCCCAAATTTGTCTTCAGTTCTGCAATGTAGAGGCCAGCTAATCTCACCATGCAACTCTTGCCTATTCTGAAATCCATATTTCTCTACACTTCCAAACCTTTTGATTCTCACATCCTCAACCTCTTGCAAGAACACATTTCCTTCTCATCTTACTGTAACCAGCATTCTTCCTCTTAAAAGAAGCATGTTTATTGTCTCACATGGTACTGCCCTTGGATATGGGCAAGAGGGCCCTACTCTGGCCTTCTTCCAGCTGTACCCATCTCCACAAAGTGAGGGATCCACAGGGTCACTGCATATCTCACTCCTAAACCACATAATAGGTACCTGGAACCCCCAAATTTCCTGCCTAAACAGCTCCACCTGTACTTATAGGGCCTGATTGCACCTCTCTCTCCAACAGTCTGCATCAAGAATGGCCTCAGGCCCTAGCTGACTTAGTTCAATGGATAGAGCATTGGCCTGTGGACTAAAAGGTCCTGAGTTCAATTCTGGTCAAGGGCACATGCCCCGGTTGCAGGCTTGATCCCCAGTGGGAGGCATGCAGGAGGCAGCCAAGCAATGATTCTCTATCATCATTGATGTTTCTATCTCTCTTTTCCCCTCTCTTCTCTCTGGAATCAATAAAAAGAAAAAAAGAATGGCCTCAGGGTGACTGTTTACAGAGATAGGGTTTGAACATGAGGCTGAGGTATTCATATGCCTGTGGATTTGGCCTACGGCACAAAGCTGAGGGTGACAGGACAGCTTTGAAATAACCAGTATATGTTTAATATGGATTTCAAAAGAGAATGGAGGAGAGGCAATATCCACAAGGATAAGGACAAAAGAAAATCCATACCAAGAAACATAGTGAAACTGTACACCACCAAAGAAGTGATCTTAAAAGCAGCCAGAGAGAACAGCCAAATCATCTACAAAGGAATGACAATTAGATTGACAGCATATGTCTGTGGTAGGCAGAATAATGTCCTCCCCCTGCCCATTGCAAAGATATCCACACTGTTATCTGAATCTGAATGTGTTACCTTACATGGCAAAAGGAATTTTGCACATGTGATTAAGGTTACCCTTCAGACGAGAAGATTAGCCAGATTATTCAGATGGACCCAATTTAATCACATATATCTTCAACAGTAGAGAACCTTTCCTAGCTGTGTCAAAGAGATAGCAGCAGGAGAGGATTTGATGCCCTGTGCTGGTTCTGAGATGTAGGGAGTTACGTGCAAGTACCAGAAAGAAGCTTCTAGCAGGGAAGGGTAGCCCCAGCTGACAGACAACAAGGAAACTGGTATCTGTCCTTTAACTGCATGGAATTGAATTCTGCCTGTACCTGAGTGAGCAAGGAAGTCGACTCAAAGGCTTCCGGAAAGGAATGAAGCCTGCTAACACTTTGATTTTAGTCCCGTGAGGCCCGTAGCTGACTTCTGACCGACAGAATGTGAGGCAATAAATATGTGCTCTTTTAAGTCACTAAGTTGTGGTTATTTGTTATGGGAGTAATAAAAAACTAATACACTTTTCAAAACAGCAATAATGGAAACTTGAAGACATTAGTATAATATTTTCAAAGGGGCCAAGAACAATTAACTGTTAACCTAGAATTCTATATTTAGCTAAACTTTTATTTTGCCTTTATTTTTGAATAAAGACACTCTCTGACCATCAAAAAAAAAAACTGAATTTACCAAAAATAGACTCTCATTTAGAAAGTTAAAATTTAAAGGATATTCTTCAGGAAGAAGAGGGCAAAAAACAAAAATCTAAGCCGCAAGAAGGTATGATCAGCAAAGAAATGGTAAATATGAATACATGTAAATAGTCATTGTCTTCATAAAACAGCACTAACAGGAATGTCCAGTTTGGGAAATAAAGTAAGATTGAAATAAAATATTGAAAATGAACCATGTAAAATGGTGGAGGGATGACTACAGTTAAAGGGGTTTAAAATCATTGTGTTGTTCAAGAGATTAAAGTTTCTTATACAGATTAAAATTTAAGGACAGACACTATAAGAAGAGAAATAAAGTATCTAACTTCTAAATAGCAGACCAAAAAAAGGAATTTAGTTTTGGGTTCAATTCTCGGTCAGGGCACATGCCCAAGTTGCAGGTCTCATACCTGGTCCTGGCAAGTACTGAAAGTAACCAATAAATATTTCTCTCTTACTTTGATCTTTCTCTCACTCTGTTCCTCTCTCTAAAATCAATGAAAGCATACTCTCAGGTGAGAATTTTTTTTAAAGGAATCCTAGCTAATAAAGAGGGAATATGCAAATTGACCGTCACACTGTAACACAAGATGGCTGTGCTCACAGCAAAGGCCGAGTTCCCATAGGAGCCTTAACGAGCAATCAGCAGGGACCTCAGGCGTGGCGCTGGGCCGGGGCAGGGGATCTGAGGCTGCTCCCCCCACCTGGTGGGGCTTGACAGGGGACCTCAGGCCGTGCCCCCTGCCCCAACGCCAGACTGGGGGACCTCAAGCCGTGCCCCCTGCCTGGCAGAGCTTGACGGGGGGCCTCAGGCCACTCCCTCCACCCAGCAGGGCTTGACGGGGGATCTCAGACCACGCCCCCCGCCCTGGTACCAGGCCATGGGACCTGAGGCCACGCCCCCCACCCAGCGGGGCTTGATGGGGGAACTCAGGCCGCACCCCCTACCCCAGCGCCGGGCCAGGACACCTGAGACCATGCCCCCCGCCTGGAAGGGCTTGATGGGGACCTCAAGGCGTGTCCCTTGCCCCAGCCTGGGCCAGAAGACTTCAGGCCTTGCCCCCCACCCTGGTGCCAGGCCAGGTGACCTGAGGTCGCACTCCCCACCTGGCAGGGCTTGAAGGGGGTGGGGCCGACTGGGTCTGGATCTAGCCCAATGGGGGTGGGGCTGGCCGGGTCTGGGTATCACGCAATTTCAAGGTGCAAGTGGATGGGCGGGGACTTGACTCTGGTTCCCATGGCTCGCCCCAGACTCTGACAGGAGGAAGATTTTCATATACATTTTGCTAATTTTCTTTCATCCCTGACACTTCTATTATAGAGAAAGGGCGAATAGCAATATTAAAACATTTTCTCTAATTCCCTTTTAATGTGCATGAATTTTGTGCACCGGGTCACTAGTCCTATATAATAAAAGCCTAATATGCAAATTGTCCCATCGGATAGGAGTTGGACCTGGAGACCAGGAGTTAGACCGCTCGCTATGACATGCACTGACTATCAGGGGGTGGCGCAGAACATAGTGGGCATCGGCGCTGCGACCTCTTGCCGGCTACCTGAGGACAGGGGTGATGGGGATGGAGGTGCAGTGAGAATGTGGGGTGTCTGCTGAACTCATTCTCACTCACCCTGCTACCCTCCCCTGGGACACTAGTGTGCTGGGGAAGCCCCTGCACTCAGGTGCCAGGCACCCATGAGGAGCCCACCCCACACCTGCGTGGCCTCTTCTGGGTGAGCCGGGCCACAGCCGCCGGGACCACAGGGGCTAGTCGGGCTCCCCGTGGGTTCGCACAGGAGCTCACTGCCCACCTGACTTCCATGCAGCGCCACTGGGTTGCCCAGAGGCCCACGCTGCGTCCCGGCCCACAGCGTCTGGCCACACTCACCACATCTCCATGTCGGGACTTGGGCACAGTGACTCAGGCAGAGGGGGACGTGCAGGGGCCCAGGGGCCCAGAGGTCAGCTGGGACCTGCCCTTCCACACCAGATGCTCACGCTTCAATTGCCGGCCAGGCCTAGGGACCGCACCTATGCACGAATTTCATGCACCAGGCCTCTAGTTTTAAAAAATAAACATAAAAACAGCTAGAAAAGTAAGGAAGGGAGATAACACAATCAGGAAAATAAGTGAGATAAACAGCATGAAACGTTAGAAGTAATTCCAAATATGTAAGTGACCATATTATGTGTAATTTGGACTAAAATTTCTAGTTAAATCACAGACTGATAGATTGGCTTTTGGAATCCAACTACATACTGTTTAGAGGAGATATAAAAAGCATTAAAATGCATAAAGATTTAAAATAAAAAGAAAAATGCAATTACCAAATACCAAAAGAAAGCTGGTGTACCTTTATTAATAACAACAAAATAGACCTTTAGTTAAAAAGTGTTATTAGGAGCCTGTCCAGTATGGCTCAGC